GTACTCACGCACGAACTCACAAGCAATCAATACATAAGTTGGGAGTTGCCATGACTTCATTTTGATTACTTCAGCAAAGTGATGATAGACCAGTTCCAAGAAAGCAAACGATAATATTTGCGTCATATCATCACATTCGGTCGTCAGTAATTCACACTGCCCACCGGGGGCAGACGCACAAACGGCCCACCATCATATTGTATGTGTGTGGTGTAACGCCTCATGCCAGGCAGTTGTGTGAGTTCTTGGCGTCGGTGGTCGTTCGTTTGCCCTCGCTGGGCAGTATGAGGTCGGCCCTAGCGGGCAGTATGCTTTTGCCCTTGGTGGGCAGGTTGTCGGCCTCGGTGGCTGTTCGTTTGCTCAATAGGCAGTATGATTGAGCCCTCGGTGGGCAGTATATAATCGGTCCACGGTGGGCAGCATTCTTTGGCCCTCGGTGGGTACTAGGCTTTATCCCTTGGCGGGAAGTTTGCTGTAGCCCTCGGGGGCAGGCTATTGGCCTTGACGGCCGTTGTGCACCCTCGGTTGGGCGGTATGCTTTAGCCTTCAGTAGGCAGGTTTCTGGCCTCGGCGGCCGTTCGTGCGCCCTCGGTTGGGTTGTACGCTTATTCTTGCGGTCGGGCTGTAATCATGCGCTCTGGATCGGGCTATAATAAACTGCAAAGGAACGCTCCTTCACATCCCGACAATTCAAGAGCTTGAAGAAGACACGTCTTCCGATATGACACCATAACACTAACAGGATGTCCGTATAATTTTGCCAGCTTGTAAATCGTGCAGGGACAGTCACGTGACACACACTCACAGCAATATGCCAATATTGCGCGTGTGCCAGGGCTAACTAGACTTTGCTGTGCAAAGCCTACATGTTACTGAACAATCAGCTCATGCGATAACATTGCACGACACTGACCGACGGTATTGGCATACTACAACTAACTGGCTAAAGCGCGATGCACAATATCACTTATGCGACGCGATGAGCGACGAGCGATGCGATCGAAATGTTTTTTTTCTGCAAGATTTTGAATCGCACCTCCGTCGCAGGTAGCATCGCGGAAAGTTGAGCCTAGTTCAACTTCTGCGACAAGCGACGAGCGATGCGCATCACTTTCTGCACGGCGGGCGCACATGACAGCTCGCGTACAGTTTTGGACTGTGCATGCCCTGCAATGATGTGGCGTGCATTGTGCATCGAACACTCTTCGTGCGATTCGAAAAAGACTTTTGCTCGAAGCTCATCGCATCGCAGAAGTGATATTGTGCATCGCGTTTTACTACTCCCTGGTACCGAAGGTACTGACGTTCTACAACTAACTGGCTATCAGCTCTAGCACATCTTGTATAGAAAATAGTACAGACCAGGAAGTAGTTATATACTGTTATTTTACTACTCCCTGGTACAGACCAGTTGGGGTGGACGTTTGCTGCAGACTTTATGGTACTGGTCAAGTACACACATCTGTAGATTGAGAGTCTGGCTAGGGTGTAGTGTCTGTCTGATCATCATTATTCATCAACAAACAGGTGTACCCGTATTTCATACACTGATCAACACTGTACATCTACTACTGTACAACACATACCTGGGAATATGCTGATGTTGTGCAACGTCTTCCTGCAATCAATCCGAGATGAACTCCAGGACAGTAGAGTTTCTATACCCTAGGAAGGAATTGTACAATGGAGGTCGAAGCTTGTTCATAGAGCATGGGTTCCTGTACAAGTGTACACCCTCCATCCTCATGATGCCTGGTGACTGCAGCATGGCTTGAATGCTATCATCGGTGATCTTGCAGTTAGATAGGCTGATCAATCTCAAGCTTGTGTTCTTCCTCATCATATCCACCAGGGCATGCACTGTGGCATCACCAATCTTATTCATCGCCATAGACATCCATCCAATACGTGTATGGTGATGGAGAGAGTGTAGGATACTTGCACCAACTTCATCACTCATGCCCGTCCTGGCAAATGAAATGAAGCGCAGCCGGTGGAATCCAGAGAGAAGCTGGCACAGCAGTCTGCAATCAGCATGACTGGGCTGTATATCATGAAACACTGGGTTGTCCTGCAGATTCAATGCACTGACATGTGATTGTGGTGATGCCACTGCTTGTAGTACACTTACAACACCAGATAGCTGTATTCTATTGATGGTCAGACGAAGGTATTTCAGCACTGTGTTGTGAGCAAGGCCAGATGTTGCCAGAGCAGTTGCTCCAGCATCGGTGATGTTACACTGTGCTATGTCCAGTAGGTCTAGGTGAGTGTTGGTTGCAAGGTACTGACCAAGTGATGACATCATGGAGTCATCAACCGTACAATGTAGGCCACCACCAAGTACACTGACCAGATGATCAATTGACTGAGTCTCTACTGAAGTACCAGTAGCATAGCGGCTGCCAATGTCGATTACGTCACCACCACATTGATTAGACGTAGCCACTTCCTGTAGAAGACGGATTGTTACACCAGTGCCGTTCAGATAAACCCTGCATGGTGGTAGTGTTGTGCTGACACTCCCAGTGTGCTCACGACTGCGACGCGCTTGCAGAAAGTCAACCACACTAGCGGCTAGCTCATCAGTCAGTCTGTTGTTGGCAAACAAGAGATGCTGTATGGTATCATGAGAATGGAGACTGGATAGTACACATGACACGTCACTGTTGGAGAGTGAGTTGTCATTCAGCCATAGACTGGCAAGGCGTGGTAACTTTGTGACCAGTGTTGCCAGGTCAGATCCACATCCACTATCCAGTCTGCACCATGCCAGTGATAGATCTGTGAGATGGTTACACGGAGCCAAGTTGCTCGCAAATGCTGCCAGACCATCATTGCCAAGTTCAGTTCGGAGTGCATCCAGGTGCGTTAGACTTGGGTGTTTTACACATCCAGCAAGTGCTGCTCCATCTGCAGATCCACTGGTCAACCTTGTGTTGCTAATGTCAAGAACCTGGAGGGTACGCCGTGTTGATCTAGACAGTGTGCTTGATATTCTTGCCAATGGTGCTGCAGTGAGATTGGCACCACGCAAAGTCACCTTGACGCATTTATCCAGTTGATCAGACAGCAAAATGACACTGTCACTTGACAGATTACAATGGCTGAGATCCAGAGACTTTACATGGTCTACAAGCTCCAAAACCGTATGTAAAGCCATCACATCAACAACTTCAAGGTGGATTCCACTAACATTAATTCCATCACCTGCCAGAAGGTTGGCTGACATTGCATAGCAGCTATGGGTGACTATGTCCGTGTCCTGATTGGGATTTCCTAGAGTGCGGTTATGTTGGAGTGAAATGCGGTTTTCCATCAAACATCTCATCATGAACAGAAGCATCTTCTTCTTGCTCTTGACAGTATGATCACTGATGCTGTTTTCAGACTGTAGAGCCAACAATGATGAAAATAGAATGTCTGGCTTTAGTGCTCCAAAGACAAACTGCCAAAAGACGAGTGTGTTCAAGTCTGTGCCGACAGTGTTGATGCACCTGCGGATGATGTCTACGCACGAGTCAGAAGAAATGATGCATCTCGATGAACACCACTCCTGCAGTGTCAAGTGAGTCAAGGACACAGCCTGAGTGGAACCGACGGCCGACGGATGCATACCAGGGTTGAGCAGTAAGCCAAGATCTTGACAAATGGACTGGTGGAGGGTTGACAACGTGGATGTAAAAGTAGCCATGTCCCTTTGATACATTTCAAGACACATTGTGTAGAGATTGTGCAATGCCTTGACTAGCTCTACAGCATGGTGATCACACTCCTCATCATTGTTGCTTGTCTCCTTCACATAGCGCTCCAAATGATGTTCTATTACCACGGGGATACTGACAAGATCACCACAACTGAAGTGCGGGCCACCACTGCAGTGACTGATGACGTCATGTGCAAGCCGTACTTGACCAAACTTTCCTCGTCGCTTTTCCAGCTTTGCGACTGAGGAGCGTAAGTAGTGGTCGTAGAAAAGTGTCACACTGGAGGGTAGAGAGTTGTTGATGGGATATTGCTGAACGAGCAGAGCACATAGGAGTGGAGATTGTCGAATGGCTTCCTTCAGCAGACAGTTGGTCGGCTGCGAGAGCTCTGCCATGCACTGCTTCGCAACCTCCCCTCCGAGCCGTCGTGAGCAGTACGCAAAGAGCTGGTCTTCCGAGAAGCCGAGGAGTCGAAAACGCAAGCGGAAATGCTGTATGTGCTGATACGCTTTATCAGATGGTCGGCTAGTTGCGATTACAATAGCATCAGGTAGTAGTGAATAGTTACTGCTGCTGCTCCTCAATATTACAGCTTGGGCTGCTGATCCTTTGCCAAACCCACCACTGCAAAGTTCGTCGATGCCATCAATAACGATCAATACCTGGTCAGAATGCTCAGAGAGGTAATTGAGCAGTGAAGATTGGTCCTGTGTACTGATGCGCAACTGGTCCAAACCAAGGAACACACACCAATCTGTTGACTGTGTACGTGTCAAATCACGGCACGGCACGTAGAAAATGAATTCAATCTTTGCCAGATTCCCAGTCGTTGTCTCCATGATGTCGGCGATGACTCGTTTGCTCAGTGTGGTCTTTCCCTGCCCAGCGTTCCCAATTACGATGCAACTTTCCAGAATGTCTTCGTCAACTGTGTCATCACCACCACCAACACCAGCACCACTTTTGCCAGCGCTAGTTACACCTTCATAATAATGGGGATCAGACAAGAGCTGCTTAGCGCTGGACAGAACAAACTGCCTTCCTCCTTCCACTTTGTCACTCTTATCTTGTTTAGCTCCTGGGATAGCAACGCCTGGTGTACGGTCAGATATTGGCTGTCTTCCAGTGACACGGCGAGTTGCAGCTTGTTGCGCACGATACGTCAGCTGCAGAGCATCTTTCTCCGTCAGAGCCTGCATGGGCATGAAGCAATCCTTGACATCGCCGGACAAGCAAGTTAGATCTGAATGATCAGCGGTGGTCTTGCACAGATGTGTATTCACTCTGTGCAGATGTTGTTTAAGACGTTGAATGTGCCCACCATTGTCTGCTCCATCATCATTCACTGCCAGTGTATTACATGTCACTGTGCCATCGTTAGCTGTGTCGCTGCCTGCACGCATAGTAGCAACATGAACTGTGGTGAAACACAGGACAGGAAAGAGGAAAAAGAACAAATTGTTTGATGGTATATCATTGTACAGATGTACTGTGATGATATGCTGACAAGTACATTCCTAAATGTAGATAGTGTGTGTGTGTGTGTGTGTGTGTGTCCTTGTACTCGTGGGGGACGGTTTGCCTTTTTCGAGCTCCAGTTATCTCTGGTCAAAACCTTTCAGTATACTCTCTCCAAGCCGGAGGCCAGCAAAGCGCTTTCGACGAGGGGACCGACACAGCTAAATGACGGGACGGCGTTTGATGCCGTCACCTTTGACTGCGCCCTTCATCGCCACTCGCTGAGGTTTGACAAGCCCCCGAGTGGATTCCATCACGCGCCATGAAATTTGTTGAAGAGAGGAGAGAGAGAAGGAGATGCCATCTGTTGCGCTTTGGATGCTGGAATGTCAGGTCCCTGGTGGAGCGAGACGGAGCCATTGAGACGGCAAGCGTTTCTGGCCGAGTAGTTGAAAACAAAAAAATAAATCGGGGTGTGGCGGAACTACGGAGGTTTGATATCGCCGCAGCAGGCCTGCAGGAGACTCACCGGTTTCACAGGAGAGCTACGTCGTGGATGGTTTCATTATCCTCAGCTCTGGCCGTCCATCTCCTGGCACAGTCGACTCTCGCCGCCGAGGAGAAGGAGTCGCAATTGTTTTGGATCGTTGCGCTGCGAGCGCGTGGAGATCTGGTGGCTGCGTCTGGAAGGCGGTGAGTTCTCACGTTGTATCTGCCCGCCTGCAGTTCGCCCTCGTTGATGGGTCAGCTAAGAGTTTCACTCTGGTTTGTGCCTACGACCCGACTTACGCAGCTAGTCGCACCGTGAAAGAAAAATTCTTTGACGATGTCCAAAGTGTCTTGTACGACGTTCCACCATCTGATTGTTGTGTCGTAGTTGGCGATTTCAACGCACGGGTCGGTTCAGGCCAAAGGGGCGATGAGTGGTCCGATGTGCGAGGCACTCACGGGTATAACACCATGAATGCATCAGGAGCTGAGCTACTGTCATTTGCTGTTTCCAATCAACTGTGTATATTAGGGCTCAAACGGTCACGGTTTTACCCCTGACGGTTAACTGCTAAGCTAACGGTCGGTTAACCGGTTATAACCTATAAGCCACGGCAATCCTGCGGACTCTTTTTTAACCGTATATTTGACTATACTCATTCAAAAATGTACCCTATTCAGTACAACACACACATGTACATTCTCTTGCATGCTCATTCATACATACTCTCACACGAAGAGACCAGATATGACCGAGTTGACAGCCCAGAAATTGCGTACGCGTGCGACAGCCCGCGAAAGTGCACACTTTGCAACGACCTGATACTTGAAAAATTGACTGAACAGTTACTGCGTAACCGTTATCTTTATCGGTTAACCGTTAATTCTTCGTAACCGGTCTGCAACCGGTTAATCGGACTAATCGTTTGAGCCCTAGTGTATATGCAACACCTGGTTCCCTAAACGGAACATTTTCAAACAGACCTGGCAGCACCGTGGCACGCTGCAGTGGCACTGCATACACATACTTGTGCGGCAAGACGACTGCCATCTATGCACCAACGTGGCCGTCATCCGGAGTGCTGAATGCGACAGCGACCACCAACTGCTATATATGGCTTTGCAGCTTCCATCGCCGGTGCGGCGCGGGGCGCAGAGCAAGGATAGTGTTCGGCGCCGGTTTGACGTTGCACAGCTAAAGGACTGCCGCACGTCTTCCCCTGAAGATCCTACGCCTACCGATATATACCAGGCAGTGATCAAGGAGGAGATCGACCGCAACTGGCTTGAGAATGCCAACATTAGTGAGAAATGGTCCTCTATCAAGTCCACCCTTGACACTGCTGCATCCACAGCCCTTGGAATCACCAAACGGCGTCAGCCGGACTGGTTCCAGAAGCCCTGCCAAACATCCAACACCTACTGGACACGCGGAATTCGGCCTACGAGGATTGGCTTTGCCGGGGCCAGCAGCGAGACACTCCGCTTCATCAGGAGCTTAAGGCAGCCCGCTTGAACGCACGCGTAGCAATCGATATGGCCAGAGTGGACTGGATCAAATCTAAAGCTCAGGCGGCCACCGAGGCCCGTTTCAATGGCGCTGTCGTGTGGAAATGTATCCATGACCTCCAGTCTGCTGGTCGCGGCCTTCAACCAGTACGGACAGCAGCGATCGTTGACGAGAACGGAAATATATGCACGTCACCGCGTTGCAGGGACAGCGCTGGGGAAGGCACTTCTCTGGAGTGCTCAACGTCATGAGCACTTGGACACCGAACACGCTGAATGGTGTCCCTCAACTACCGCTTGCCGAAGACCTTGCTGAACCTCCCACGCTGCGCGAAGTGTGCCGCGCCGTTGCTCTCTTGAAGAATGGCACGGCTGCTCGAGCCTCGGGTGTCTTGCCGAAGATGGTGAAGGCAGGGGGTGAGTCGCTGAACAACAAGCTTGTGGAGCTATTCGGAGATGTGTGGCGTGCCAGCCAAGTGCCGCAGGAGTGAGTAGACGCTACCCTGGTACCAATTCCGAAAAAAGGGGACCTGACCCGATTCGACAACTGGCGTGGCATCGCGCTGCTCGATGTTGTCGGCAAGGTCCTGGCGTGTCTCATTCAGACGAGACTCCAGGGCCTGGCCAGCAGCTTCCTCCCGGAATCACAATGCGGCTTTCGGCGAGGCAGATCCTGCACGGACATGGTGTTCAGCGTACGTCAGCTGCTCGAGAAGACCATCGAGCATACAGCCAAGGGTTTCTTCGTCTTCATTGACCTGAAGAAGGCCTACGACTCCGTGCCCCGTGAGTGCCTCTGGCAGGTGCTCTCCCGTGCTGGTGTCCCTCCCCCCTGCTTGCAGTCATCCGATCTTTCCACCATGAGATGTATGCAGTATTGCGCGTGAGTGGCACAGGTGTGGGTCTGTTTAGCGTCACCAATGGCTTGCGGCAAGGCTGCACTATGGCTCCTGTCCTCTTCAACATCTTCATGTGGGCAGTAGTCACCAAGTGGCAACAGAGGGTCAGAGGTATTCCTGGCGTTGGTTTCCAGTTCAGCTACCACTATGGTGAGGGTTAACTATATCGCAAGGCACGCCGGGCTGACACCGCTGCCACCGCCCTAGAGGCACAGTTCGCGGAAGATTCCTCTCTGTTTGCAACATCGCGTGCTGGTGCTGAGATTGCCTTGGATCTGTTCAACTTGACCGCTTCGGAGTTTGGCCTCACCGTGAGCGCGACCAAAACCAAGTTCTTGGTTGCGGGAGCTGGCGTCACGGCTGCGGACCAGGCGTCCATACAGCTTGCCGGTGTGGACATTGAGTGTGTGCCGGAGTTCAAGTACCTGGGGTGTATCATCCACTGTGGCGGCCGATCTTCGCAGGATATCAGCGCTCGGGTGGCAAGTGCGTCCCGGGCTTGTGGTGCTCTGCAGCAATCAGTTTTCAGGAACAAGAACTTAGATCTTCATATTAAACGCTGTGTGTTTAATGCCTGTGTCCTGTCTCTGCTCCTGCATGGGTCCGAGTGCTGGACGCCGCTGAAGCAGGACCTCCGTCGCATGTCTGTTTTCCACATGCGATGCGCGCGGTCCATATTGGGTATCACACGCCATCGTTGCTGGGATGACCACATAATTATCACACAACCAGCTGCTTGAGTAGTGGGGTGACTCTGAAACCATCGTCACCAAGGTTCAGCATCGGCGCCTCGAGTGGCTAGGCCATGTCGCCCGCATGGACGATGTGCAATTGCCCAAACAGTTGCTGTTCGGCACCCTGCCATCTCGTCGCCCGGCACATGGCCCACGTCGACGGTGGAAAGACTGCGCTGTAAAGGACCTCCGCTCACGAGACCTTGAAGCGGACTGGTACAGTGGCGTAGCCAGGGGGGGGGGGGTGCTTTGGGTGCCCAAGCACCCTCCTCAAAAATTTCAACAATTGTCTGTATTATATTCTGGGTCTAACCACACCCTGTCAATCTCTTACCATCCAACTTCTGTAGCAAAGTACTGTGCGTTTCATACGATTATCTGACTTTTTATTGAATCATTGGTGGAATGGAAAATAATGAAATAGATGCAAAAATGAAGGATTTGGCACTCAATATCGAAAAATTTCCGGGGGATGGCCCCCGGACCCCCCCCATTTTTCGCGCCCTTCGGGCGCAGGCCCACACTTCCAGTGAGCACCCCCCTCAGCCACAATCCTGGCTACGCCCCTGTGGTACAGAGTCGCCTGTGACTCTCGCTAGGCACAAGTGCATGGCTGAACGGCAGAAGCCGGTTTCGGAGCAGAGAGGTGCACGTCAGTGCCCTCGGGTGTCATCGTTGGTTCCGGAGCCGCGGAGGCTTGTGGGTGTGCATCGTTGCTCCGCTTCTACCGCGTGCCCAGTACCGACAGAACCAGCTGCTGTTGTCACCGGTGACACTACCGCCCGGAGGTGCTGCAATGCTCACTGTGACACCTGCAATCGTTGTTTTCGCTCAATCCAGGGACGCAACCGCCATCGCTGTTCAACGCAATGCCACCGTCCAATGGCCAGAGAACGGGACAAGTTCCCGCATATGTGTATCTGCTCTCGCCGGTTCCGACTAGTCTCGCATCTGGAGCGCCATCGGGTGGCGTGCTCTTTCGCTCTCTCTGCTGCCCCTCCGGGGCCCACGTGACCCTAGTGGTAGTGGCTCTACAGGACAGGACAGGACAGGTGTGTGTGTGTGTGTGTGTGTGTGTGTGTGTGTGTGTGTGTGTGTGTGTGTGTGTGTGTGTGTGTGTGTGTGTGTGTGTGTGCGTGTGTGAACCACTGATTGTACTCTTTACATACACACATACATAAAAACTGAACTGAAAGGCGTCAACAAAAGAAACAAATAAGTGAGTAATCTCGATTGACGCTGTGTACAGCTTTGTTGTAAAATAATTTCAAAGTTTGCCAGTATCACTCGTCGATACTCCACAGCTGCATTTCACAATGTCCAACACAATAAACAGGGCAGGGTTTTCTTGAAAAACTGTTCTCCATGTTCTGTGTGGAGCGTTGTTGTGCTCAGGCATGCACTGCCGAAAATGTAGCAAAGCTGCTAGATCCTCGTTTGGTGGGAGGTGCGAAAATGCATCTATTATTCTCGTTCTAGATCCAGGTTGAAATTTTTTCGTGAGCGTCTTATTTTGTATTGTGTTCCGGCATGTGGGTCTCTTCAGTTCACCTGGGTGGGCGAGCGTCCGATCTTGGTGAACCACGGTCTGCCTGGTGGGCTGGAGGGATCATGCTCTTATTTGTATCGGTTTGCCTTGCGGGTGTTGTGGGTTCTGGGTGTTGCTGGTTGTCACATGTGCGTCACAATAAGTGCCTGACGGTTTTGGTTTTTTGCTTTGCAAGCGGATGTACTAAATGTTTCCGGTGTTATTATGGTGTTATCCCTGTGGTTTTCAGGGTGGATACCTGGGGCTATTCAGGGCAGCGCAGTGTGATTTTTTCTTTAGTATCTTTTATGCGTATCGGTAACCGATTTGTTTGCGTGGTATCTGGTGTCTTCACTGATCAATTGCTTCTGTTTCAGTCGATGTGTTCTTCCTTGCTGTTCTTCCATTCCTTCGTGTGGTTTTCTTTTCTGATTTTTGGCGATGGTTGAGATGTTTGTGTCAGTCCATGTCTATTTCTGTGTGCGTCTTTGTCTCTCTGTGAGTTTTCGTAACCCCATCGGCTGTGTTGTGGTTTTTCGGTCAACCCTCCAGTGTAGGTCCTGTGCTGCAAGATGCCTGGATACCCAGTTCTGCTGCCACTGTCTTCTCGGTCTGTGAGTGCCGTCGGTCTCGCCGCTCCCGGCAGCGTCGCGGAGTCCAGCGTGCGCCTACTCGTCACGTGTCCAACAATTGTGGTTATACATGTTGTGTTTTATTCTCGCATTTTATGCTCATTCACAATCTCATTTCTTTCCTCTTTCTGTCTTCTCCGATCCGTCTTCTTCAATTTTTTGGGCTTCATTTGTTTCGCTTTCATCCTCAGGAGAGGATGTCTTTTTTCGGTGGGGGATAGAGTTGTACAAGCTGCTGAATCGTGGAACACGCTGCTGAATCGTGGTACACGCTGCTGAATCGTGGTACACGCTGCTGAATCGTGGTACACGCTGCTGAATCGTGGTACACGCTGCTGCGCTTTTGCAACAGGTGTGTACTCACATGCATAAAGCCTAGTTCACATTCGACGGAACGCTGACGGTACGGGACGTAAGGCCTGTCGGGAAGGCTGGGATGAACTGTAAAATCTTGTACGAATCGTACGACACGACATGCTGCAGTCGTTTCGTGGTTCAGCAGCGAACGACGCCAGTCATAAGGCACGGCCCATGACAGGGTGACCGTTGCCCTATTTTCTTATTTTCGGTATTTCTTTTCAATTATTTCTCCTTGAATGAAGCGGAATCAAGTTCACAATACCAGTATTTCATGAACACCAAAAAGTAGCATCGAAAGGCGTGCCATTCAAATTATAGCTCCAGGGAATGATAAAACAGTTCGTCTGCCACGCTCCTGAACTATCCCAAAATACCATAAGTGACCCCAGACCGTATCTTGCAAAAATTCAACTCAAGTCGTGTTAGCCATTCTGCGAGTTATCATGGGAAGCACAGTGTTCGAAATGCTAAAAATTTCCAAAGTACGAATCGGGAGTAGTCGGCGCACAACGCCGTCTCCTGTTCACACTCAAAATGCAGCTGTTTTGTACACTTGCATCCCCGTCTACGCCCGTCTACGGTATGAAAGGTTGGATCGATCCAACTCTTCCCGTAGCTTCCCGATCTGTACGGCAGTACGGCTGCGCTCTCGTTCCTGGTGTTCACATTGGACGCCGTCAGACTGTCCCGTCGCTTCCCGTCGATCCTTACGTCACGTCCCGTCGTGCCCCGTCGAATGTGAACTAGGCTTTATAGTCACCCGCTCTGTACACACTTCTCGCACTGGTCCCCATTGGGACAGCATTGTATCGCTGACCCGTGCACCTTTTGTGCTGATGAGCGCACCACTTTTGCCCTGATGAGTGCACCACATTCCTGGATAATATTCACTTGTTAGTTGTCATACGTCAGTTGCCCAGACGTCTACTTAGAGAAAGAACAAAGTATTCTCTCCTACTACACAGCTGGCCTTCTGTTGTGTATCGCGGCCGCAAGAGGGGTACAGTTCGGTTTTAGCTACAGTCCATTCAGAAAAAGATGAGCGTTGGCCCCGGAGAGCACTCGTGCTTGGTGATTTCGCCAGTGACGCGAGATTCGAAACTTGAAAAGGGTCCAAAAAAGGTACCTCGACTGGGGTTTGAACCTCAAATGCACTGTTCTGCAAGTGGAGTGCACGGGTTGGATTTTCATGGTTTTCCCCAATTCAGTGCTTTGGGGGCAAAACCCGGCCGAAATCCTATTCTTGTTATGGCTTGCTTTTTGGAGAAATAGACTTCAAAAACACAATTGGAAGAGGATTCCATGGGGGATTGCAAAAAAATTGAGAAAAAACTCAAAATTTGACCCATTTCTGGCCAAAAGCTAGGATATCATCTTTTTCTGAATGTACTGTAGACTATACTTTGGTGTAATGAGTTTAATTTTGCTGGTAAGGTACAAAACTAAAATTTCCCTTCACAGCAGAAGTTTGATTGATGGCAATGTTTAAATTGGGGAAGTTCAGACTGTAAGTGGTATACCCACACCCCCAAGACCATTCTTGTGACCATCCCCATTCTGGACATATCAATTACCTGTCTCGTGAGAGGATGTCTTGGCCGTTGGTGGCTGGTCAACGGGCAACAGGAGAAGCATTTCTTGGTACAATTCATCATACAATGGACCCAAGTCATGGATTGCATTGCAGAGTAGTTTATAAGCACCTGTGCGCCCAGGACTTATAAGACTGATGATGTGAGAATTATGCGCTTCCTTTCCTTTGTTGTTCTCCAGATGCTCCAATGTCTCAATTTGTTTTGTACTTGTGAACGCACCTTTGTGCTGCATAGAATGTCGAAAGCTCGTTGCATCCAATTCATAAATCCAGGGTAAGATATAGGAAATGAACTTGGGATCATCAAATGGTCCGTCTAAAGAACACGAAAAGACAAAACAAATATACAGGAATGTCGAACTAATCGAAACAGCATGGACAGATAATCATCAGCAATTTTGAGACAGTATCCTGGACAACCAATCACCATGACAATCGGGTCATGTTTGGACACCTCAACATCATGTACCCTCCCAACCCCCCCCCCCCCCCCCCCCGCCCACCATCCCTTCCTTAGCATACTCAAGCTCGACTGATGTGGAGCGACCTCCCTGGAAAACTGTACTTTAAGTATGGAGCCATAATTTCTTGCAGGTTTGCAAAGTGAAACATTTGATGGATGTTTTGTTTATGGACGGCTCTGCGGGATGGTAGTCAAATACAGTCAAATGAAAAGTCAAGTTGGCAGGTCCCCTGTTCTATTTGTGGTGATATCTCGAGGCAGCTTTTCGGGATGTAAGGAGCACTGCTACTGCCAGGGCTCGGCCATCATCGGATTTCGGCTTGCCATTTGAAATTGCGTACAGCGGCTCAACGGATGTAAGCAACAAATATTCTATAATGGGTTTGGTTCTCTATAAGGCATCTGCATTCTATAGTCTGTCTGCTTTAGATAGGAGTTTTGTTTCTTGTTTGCTCTTGTAATCGCATGTAACCAAAGGCTTGTTGCTAAGATACTGCACATTCAATTATGGTGGACTGCTGGTCTGACTTACTGTTAGACATTTTGAAGTACTTTCAGGACGATGATAAACTGGTTATTGTAGCACGGTTCATACACTCTTCACTGCAGTCATGGTCTGTGTAGTTTTCTGCATACACACACACAGACACACGCACACACACACACACACGCACACGCACACACACACACACACACACACACACAAACACACACACGGACACACAAACACAAACACACGGACACACGCACGAATACACAACTGAATTTGAGATAGGCCACTGCTGGTGCTGTTGTTTCTTCAAACCGGTATGCCCAGTTTTCATTGAACAAGTTCCCAGGAATACAGAAGCTAGCAATGGTAGTCATGGCTCTGCAATACAACTCACCGCTATCATCGGGAGATGAAAGCAGCTGCTAGGCGTTGAACAGCTGGATTATGTGATTACCAGAAACTCAGCTTGGCTAGTCATCCAGGTCACTCCAACATACAAGAGTTGACAATGCCTCATTCACTGCAGTGATCCGTTCCTTCCTTGCTACGCTGTCGCAACCTTTACATCTGGCGGTACAGTGTGTAAGGTGCACACGTTTGTTGTGGTGTCTGAAAGAAGGAAAGAGAGAATAGAAGGCAGGTTTTAAAGTACTGATAATATTCAGAAGAGAATGTATCATGAATCATGGATGAGCAGCCTATGCTCATTCTTAGTCACTAACTACACTGTAATGGCTTTACATGTGTCTTCACTTAACACTCTACTATACTGATACAGGTTATCAACTTACACACAGTGTATAGTAGTAGACAGGGCCGTATGCCAATGCTACACCTGCAAGACCGACAACCAACTGCACAAGAGGTCGCCCTCCGGGCAAGCCTGAGCTCCTCGCAGCTCAATAGCAACAGCGAGCCGGAAACCCACAAATTCGCATGGCACAGCTAGAGGGCAGGGGGCTGCAACACCGCCAATCCCGCCAGCTGACCAACGACTCAAGACTCGGTGAGCTGAGCCCCGAGGACACAGGGCAGATCATATCTGCAGCGTACGAGGAAATCGCACACTTCCGGCCTAACCTGTTCTCCATCCTATCGGGTGCACATGGCAGGTCAGTGGGGGACTTGAGCGCTCGCTACCTCAACACGTTCTGAACAAACGCAGCGGGAGAAGGCATAGCCTTGAAGGCAATTATGGTCTGCCGTAGTCTTCTACTGCAACAACCGGTCAACTGCTTGACACACAAGGTGCATGTGGAATGTCTGAACCGACGAATGCAGCTTTGGAACGAGGGAAACATCGATGAGCTTGTCCGGGAGGCACGTACCATCCAGCGCCAACTAACCAAGGAACGTGGCGGGAAACGGGCACAAAGTCCAGATGGCGCGCGAAGTTTCGCTACCCTCATCACAAATGGTGAACTGGGTGCAGATCTCCAGTCCCTGACAGCAACGCCTTCGGGTGGGCTGCTAAATCTGGACTCCTCCACTGTTGGTAAAACCGTGAGACAAACGCTGAAAGAGAAGCACCTGCCGGCGGAACCCATGCATGCAGATGCCCTCATCATCGGCCCCTGCCCCGAATTGCCGCACCCGGTGCTGTTCGAAGCTCTGAACAGAGACATCATTCGGCAATCGGTGCTACGGCCCATCCGCCATGGACTCTACCAGCTGGAAACGTTTGTGCACCACGTTTGGAGCGTCCTCGGACCAGCTATGTGATAGCTTCGCCGCCTGTGCTAAGCGCATCGCCACCGGAATCATCAACCCAATCCCCCTCAAGCCATTCACAGCATGCCACTTGGTGCCTCTGGATAAGAAGTCCGGGGTGCGCCCAATTGGCATACCGTAAAATTCCGTAGATAAGCCCACCCTAAATAACGCCCATGTCCGATAACAAGCCCAGTTTTAGGCGGTGTACACTTCAAGTCCGTTTTATCGCCCATGCCCGAAATAAGCCCAGGGCGTAAAGTGGACACAAAATGACCAGCGCGCGAGCGTGTGTTCGCGTACAAACTGTATAACAGTTGTAGACGTGTTCAGCCATGCCGTTACCTGTTGTGCCTTGTACTTACCATAGCAAGTGGTTTACCTATCAAATCTGTAATTTATCGCTACATTCTTGGTTACGATCAAATTTCCAGAGTTGGTTTGATGTACATGTACGTGTACCGTGCTCAGTGAGAATGGTGCTTCACTCAAACTAGTGGCTTGCTGAGAGGTACATCTTCTGCACCCGAAATAACGCCCATGCCCTAAGATAAGCCCATGCCCAAATATACGCCCGGTTTTTGAACCTCTGCAAAGTATACGCCCGGGGTTTATTAACGGAATTTTACGGTATGTGAAGTCCTCAGAAGGATAGTAGGCAAAGCCATCCTCACCATCATCGGAGGGCAGATCCAACAGGCGGTCGGGTCGCTTCAGCTGTGTGGCGGCCAAGAATGTGGAGTGAAAGCAGCAATACACGCAATGCGGCACCTGTGGAACGGGGAAGAGACCGAAGCAGTCCTCCTAGCAGACGCAAGCAATGCGTTCAACAGGCTGAACCGCAGTGTGTGCTTGCACAACATCCGTCACCTCTCAGGTCTGGCTATCGCGGGTGCCGTTACCAACACCTACCGGCATCCCGCACGGTTGTTCGTCGATGGGGATTGTCTTCTTTCTGAGGAGGGCACCACCCAGGGAGACCCGATGGCAATGCCCATGTATGCCATTGAGCTCCTCCCACTCATGCAGAAGGCGGCGAGCAGCTCAGCCGACAAGAAGCAGGAGCCGTACTCTGCCACAATCTCGTACATCCGATGCAAGCTAAGCTTAGCCCTCATCCGTGCTGCTGGTGCCAGTCTGCGAGGCCATCGGCACCGAGTATCCTAAGATGCAAACGACTCGGCCCGATTTGCGGTTACCATGAGCAGCATCGGTTAGGTTCTTTTGAGAGTCATTAAAATCGGTACTAGAGTTTGATCACAGCCATGGCATTTTCGAACTCCCTCCAGAGGCTCCGCATTAGACTGTTTTCACAGCCATTTTTGCTTTCTCGACCGTGTTTACAGCCATTTTTTTGCTCTTTTTCTTCCTGTACTGTTGAGGTTGCGCTTGTGTTTATTTATTTTCATGAAAAAAATTGACTTGAAGTGACTTGCAGAAGACGGGTACGACGAAAAAAATTCGAATTACACGGAATGTTTGAATTATACCGTATTCGAATTAGAGGTAGTCTACGTGTAGTAACAATATACTTAACTTATTGAATGGGCAAGAAGGTAAAACTACCATTACAACTTCTGGCAAGAGTAAATAAGCTCCCACAAGCTTATATACTCTTGCTTCTGGTATGGAGAAATAGAATCAGGTACTAGAGGAAGCAAGTGTAATGGACAGTGGTAGCTTCACAAACAGGATAGTAGCAGAGGGCTGCCACTTTTCTGTTGGCAGAAATCAGAAGCAGTGTCTGAGGTGTTCAATGGCAGGGAGTCGAGGGGACAGCGACCTCTTTAGAAGCCGTAACATTTTTAGGATTTCAAGGGCCCGAAACAACAAAATAGTACATTTTCGTGAACAATCGTTTCGGTCGGTTTGTCGGAACAACTGATCGGAGTGTTTCCGGAAAATTGGAATAGAACAAGTCGAGGCCCTGACAATATGGATAGCCCTCGGTCCTGGCACATTTAAGTACATGTAACACGGTTAACTATGATCAACTAGTGACAGCGAGTGGAAGGCAAAAAAATCAGAATAACGGTGGCAAAGTTATGACACTTTTAGTGGCATGGGCCAGGGGCGTAGGAAGCAGATTTCCAATGGTCCAGCGGATTGTTAGCTCTTTACAGGTCGCAATTTTTTTTAATTTTTAACTCCGCCCAGTATAACTGCTTTAGTATGGACTTTGTCTTGGAGGTTAGGCATGGGGAAGTTGCCATACAGGGGTGGTGAGCCCGCCTATTGGCACCGGGAATACAGCTTACTCGACTCTGTCTCTACTGAATGAAGAGGGTGATTTTACTTGTAAAAGGATTGATATGAACAAATACTGTGGTATCATGAAAGACTTGAGGTTTTAAAACTGTCTGAATTGGGAGAGCTGATGCTCACTTCCACATTCAAATTCACTCTTCAGGCACTAGACGTCCAGCAGTTTCTTGTGGACATTCAGGAACATCAGGAGTCATGTGTTTGAGCCTTTCCTGGCCGGTTGTACTGTGTAGGACTTGACCCTCCGCATGGTTGTAAACGAGCTAGTTGCCTTTTTTCTTCTTTTTTGGGCGAAACATCGGCGGCCGCAGGACCTGTTCATATGCCCCTGTGGGTACATCATGAACGTTGACCTATGTCGAACATTTTGAGGGGGTGCTTGAGCACCCAAAGCACCCCCCCCCCCCCCCCCCCCGGGTACACCACTGGTATGAACTGAGCCTGTAGAATCTATTTAAAGTCCTGCACAGCTTGATAAGAGTTCAAACTTTTTATCTTGCATAGCACTGTAAAAATACTTCAGTACCTAATCCTTTGATGGAAAATTCTGCATTGCCATACCAACCAATTGTCTCCGGTCTTGCAGTACAACACATCCTTTCCCCTTCAACAACTGTCTCTGGTCTTGCAGTACAACACATCCTTTCCCCTTCAACAACTGTCTCTGGTCTAAACTAGCATCTAGTTACCGCCTGAACACATCTACAGTCTCGATCTCAAGCAAACCGTTTGACTCATGAACTTAGCTGTCCAGCATGCCACACGGTTCACAAACTCACTGTCATAGAGGATGGCTAAGGTAATCGCTAGTTGGTGATCAGTGGAATGGTGTGCTTGCTAACCGTGCCTGTCTTGTGTGTTTGTGCTGTGGTTCAGCAACTGTTGATCCAGGACTGAAACTTACAAGAATTGAGAATCAGGCTTCATTCACTGCACATCAGTTCTTTGCTAGCAATGTTGACAGTTAGCGTCAGACCATAGTACCAGCAGTACTTGCACACGGCCGGCCGTCGCACTGAAATTAGTATCTGAAGAAAGCAAGAAAAATGGAGCATGAATGTCTTTCAAACAATAGATCTGCACATTGTAACCCCCCCCCCCCCCCACACACACACACACACTCACATGCACATACATCAAAGTCCAAATTTTATAACTCCCATTGGCCTGCTCAAGCTTGTAAGTTAGTAGATTCTACAAAACAGTACCTGGAATTAAAGATGAGAAAAGCTGAGCAATGTGATGTGCAGTTGTGCATACTCAGTCTGCTCTCTTGTACGGATAGAGACACATGGCGGACAGGTGACATTCTCCCTCTAATTCTCCTCACACTGACATAGTAATAGAGCAGTACATGTATCTGATTCACGACTGTCCCTATTTTCCTATAACTTACAAACCATGATATACATATACAGAGATTACTCCTATAACCACCGTTGAATTTGAGTGGAAAAGATTCTTTAGATTTGGAATTCTGAAGCTGATAACATTATAGGCGGTATATTCTTATAACCACCAACCCTATAGCTGATCTCTACCTGTACTACAAACACAAGAACTTGCTGGTTTTGACTTGGCTGGTAAAGAATCCCATCTGAGTTGC